AAGGCTGAACAGGGCGTCTCATCAGGCTTTTTTAAGGACGTAGAGCTGACAGAAGGCAGGGGGAAAATAAACAAGCCTCGTTTTTATGAATCGGTGGTTGCTACTCTAACCAAGCGCTTACCGGAGTCAAGCTTGGTCCAGACGCTCAAAGCTCTTGATAAGCGCTTTTGGCCTGGAGAGCAGGAAGACTTGACTTTGTTTGGCGAACAAGAAGTGCACCGTCTGGCTAAATCGCTCGGAGAACCAGCCGGGGAGGCCGTGGAGCAGTTTAGAGACTGGAAATGGCAGGGCACTCCACCGGGCAAAACACTGGAACGGCTATGCATAGCAAGTCGCACTTACCTCCCCACGTTTGCTGAGTGCGAAAGAGGCTTTTCCGCCGTGAATAACACCGACAACCAGAGCCGCAACAGGTTGCGCGAGGAGAGCCTGTCTTCGCTTCTGTTTGTGGACCTAAACGGACCCCCTTTGGACAAATTCGACCCAGTGCCGTTCGTGAAAAGCTGGATTAAAGCAGGACATTGTCTCTCTTCTTCTTGGAAACCAGGACGGCAACGAGAAGAAGTCGAGCCAAGGCATCTTTTGTCTATTCTCACTTAAGGTAAAAGACTATTTTTTCAATCTTTGCTGTGCATAAGATGAGCGTGTGCGTATGTCCTGTGTGGATTCCGGGGTTAAGAATAGCATAATTAGCCTTGGCGTTCAAGTTAGTGTGTGTGTGTGTGTGCGTGCAGGACCGCACCTCCCTACACACTAGTGCTGGGGGGAAACGATTATTTTGAAAACGATTAATCGGGCGATTATTTGATCGATTAGTCGACTAATCTAACGATTATTTTTCTGTTGTTCAATTCATAAAAAACGTAATGTAAAAAAAACGTAATGTAAAAAAAAAAATGTTCACGATACTGTGTCTCAGGGGATCTTAATATTCAAGAACCTATTAATGTGTTATACCAGATTAACGGAAATAATCTCAGCTAATTAACGATACAAACCATGTTTACCAAAACAAAACACAAGTCTCATAAGAAGCATCTAAATGACCCCTGAGCGAAAAATGCCAACGGACATTGGCACAGAACTCAAGATAAAAGTACCCTTATTACTTATCGTAGCTGCACATACAATATATCCAATTAAAGCTGAGACTCCACAGATTATGTAGGTATATAGTATCATCACTGAGTGATCCGGACTCGCGACAGGGGAAGCAAATACAGTCATCACAACACGTACCTTCACAGAGCTTCTAGGGAGATCGTCTCACCACCGTAGCTGTAAATCTGATCAAAAGACGTGTTCAATGGCATTAAAATGAGAAAAAACGCGGCTGAATCGGTTAATCCATAGGTTTTTAACGTCTATGTATAATCCATAATTCCATTTTATGTAAAAAATCGGAGAGCAAATGCTAGCTGCTAATGGTAGCCACCACAGCTAGCTGCTGCTTCTGCTAGGCTATGCAGCAGTCTCAGTGAGATATAAATATATAAATATCTTTGCGTTTTGGACTAACTTTAAAATATTCCCATGCTTTTGAAGACCTAGGGCGAGATGTTTTCGTTTGGGGGCTTCGTGCGCAATCCTGTGAGGAGGAGGTGGTAGCCGTTTCAGTCTCCATTGTGTTTGAAGTGCGATTGCGAACTGCTTGACTTGTTGCTTTGGGTGACCCACGTGTGTGTAGCGACGCGGAAATATGTCGTCGACGATATTTTGAAGTCGACGCGTCGACATCGTCGCTACAGCACTACTACACACAGACCACGCAGACTGTGTGTGGGTGTGAAGGTGTGTGTGCAGGCCCGCCCCTCCCTACACCCAGATCACGCAGACTGTGTGTGTGTGCGTGCAGGCCCGCCCCTCCCTACACGCAGACCACGCAGACTGTGCGTGGGTGTGAAGGTGTGTGCAGGCCCGCCCCTCCCTACACGCAGATCACGCAGACTGTGTGTGTGTGCGTGCAGGCCCGCCCCTCCCTACACGCAAAGCACGCAGACTGTGTGTGTGTGTGTGTGTGTGTGTGTCTGAGACCAGCTCTGCTCCCATTTCCTCGCATAGAATCGAAAACAGATGGCTCTTTAACGGTCGTGTATTCATTCATATGAACGTTAGAATATATAATTATTTGACAGCGCCCGGTTGAGAAACGCTGCTACAACTGATTGTCTTGGATTGCATCCATGAAATATTGCATAGGCCTACTGCATATTGAGAAATCTTCGACCGGTATATTGCGCAATAAACGGGAGATTATTGACGGGTATTTCGCAAACTGCACTTAGCCCTTAGTTACTCCAGGGAGAATGTCCCTGTAATCGGTCATTATAAGTCGCTTTGGATAAAAGCGTCAGCTAAATTAAATGTAATTAGTCAAATATGCATGAATAAATAAATAAATAGTGAAAACTAAGACTAGAAAACTAGTCTTTGCTGCTGCCTCAAAGAGGAGCAGGGAGACAGGAGAGGCTGATTCAGGAGCACAGACACACTCACAACTATAAATGAACCAAAAATAAATTAATAAACAAGTGTCAGTGTTTTTTTTCATATTGGAAATGGTATGTTATTGGTTATGGCCATGATTTTATGATTATTGAAATGTATACAGTTCTGTTTAATATAGGTGTTTCCATAGATCTAGTCTCTTTATTTTCCCCTCAAAATGCACCAGATTGATGCATTTAACTCCAAAATAAAAAATAAAATCTTACCGGGGGGGCATGGACCCCCCTAGAGGATTTGAGGTCGACCCCCACTAAAAATATTCACATGTATAGGTTCCTAAATACATTTATAAATACTTTGATTTTTTTTAAATAGCATCCATTTCCATATGTTCATCTGTGGGTAGTAGATTTAAACTATAGGGCTATCATTATGGGCCCTGCCTGTACCTGTTTGCTCTGCCATCGCGTGAAGGGTCTGCTAACAAGCGACCAACAGAAAGGTTAATGTTAATGTTGTTGCACGTCAACTCAACTCCCCCCCCCCCGCTACCACCACCTCCCCCAAGTATATTTCAGATCTGTGGGAAACACCGGCAGTTAATGGACCAGCACCAGAGGCGTTCCCATACACACAGGCGTTGGAGCTGTTCTTCATGAAATCCCAGAAGGATGAAGTGCTCTGACAAACAGTGCCATCTTTGCGCAAAATGATTATACAGGAATGAAAAGTCAATAAATAAACATGTTGTTAAAACATATTTAGCCAGCATGGATGTGGCATGAATGCTTTGCTTTGTATGTCCGGGGCGGGACATTCATGTGATTGGTTGTTGGTCGCGTTGACTCCCCAAGCTCAAGACACGCCCACCGCCAAGCGGCAACGCACGCCGCCGTGTGTAGGCTCCGTCAGTCTGACAGGAGCGGACTCTCCTCCACCTTGTTGTTGAAAAAGCTCCTTATATCCGTTAGCACAGCTAGCTAGCACCAGATGCTAACAACAACAATACACGTAACCGGTGCGCGCGCTTTATCGCGCCACACTAACACACACACCCTCCCGAGCTTGAATGACACACAGACCAATCGAGGGCATTAGTAGGATCTGTATGAAAGTGGCCATGTCGGCAGGCCACATCATGTATACAGCCAGTCACCCTCTGTGAGGCAGAGTCAGACCCACATTTGCGCAGGGGTGCGTTCACAATACACACATTAAAAAAAAAATCCTCAGGCCAGCAGGCCACTTAACAGGCCAGGCCATCGGGAAACCTCCCGGTCCTCCCGGGCCTGGTACAAAGGATGTATTGAATAATTTGAATAAGTGATATATGTGTACACATATAAATCATTAGTCAAAACAGTATATATATATATATGTGTAGACATATAAATCATTAGTCAAAACAGGGGTACATTTGATTTAATGTGTGTTGGAGGAGGGGCTCTGTAAGGAAGTGGCAGATTTTTTCCGGTTGTGTGTCTTGAGCACTCGAGCTGGTTTCTCCAAAATTACCTACCCCACCTTTAACCGGCTTCATGCTGCCAAATCCGGTGGAAACTGCAAGACGTTGAGTCGCTGGATGCGGCAGTCGAATATCCAATATCCAACTTAAAACTAACTTCACCGCGGTAAACAGACTTGGACAGTGCAGCCATAGAGTTGTTGTTTGTCGCAGTTCCAGCCGTTGGTGCGCCGTGTAACGGAGTTTTTTTCTTAGTGGAAGAAATACTATAATGTTTAAGTCAATAAAATCATTTCAAATAATATTGGGAGTCTAGTCGTTAGTTTGTTTAGTATCTGTCCGTATAATAAGCGGGATAATGTGCAGCGACTTGGTCATTATGGGGAAAATAACACCCAATCAGCCTGAACGGTGTTCATTTCCCCATGATGACCGCCTCGCTGCAAATTATAGTCCCTTGCTTACTGAAGTATTGTACTTGAGTACAATTTTGAGGGACTTGTACTTTACTTGAGTATTACACTAAAAACCACAGTTAAATAGTGTAATTAGTTACTTTGCAGATTTGGATTAATGATGTGAAATAAATTAATAACTAAAATAAGACTTTATTTAAACCTGGAGTAAAATTCACAAGCTACCCTGCAGCATACAAAGTCATTAAAACTAGCTTCACATTTACCAGCTTTGATAACACATGAATGCATCAATAATTATTATAATATATATTATTCTGAATAATGAGTATTTTACTGTTTGTACTTTAAGTATATTAAAACTTCAAGACTTTTGTACTTTGACTTGAGTGACACTTTGAATAACGGAATTTTACTTGTAAAAGAGTATTCCTATATGTTGATATTACTACTTTTACGTAAGTATAAGATCTGAGTACTTCTTCCACCTCTGCTAGCTACCTTCATGTTCAAATGTAAAAAGCTAACGTTCTCTAAATTAGCATCTGCTGTTAGCATAATTCGGCACTGTAGGTTTATTAGAGTATAAAACTGTTTGCAGATAAACAAGATTACGGATATACACAGTTAATTAGCGGTAAATAGCTAGCAGTAAGCAAAACATTACTTACCCGATGTATTTCAGAAGAGCCCGTCTAGTCTCACGATGATTGTGGTAGCACAGGTTTACCACGTTGACCTCGCAGATCCACACAGCCACGTTGGCGCTAACCTATTCCCACCGCCTTCACTTTATAAAATCAAGCTAGAGAGCCAACATGTGTCCAGTCCCGGTGTTTTTCTACTGATGTACACTGTTGTGACTGACGAGCCGTTCAGACGTTTAGGATTTGTTAAAGCGGAACCTCAAATTAAACTGACTCCACAGCAAACCGATGTTAGCAACTGCTGGCTTAGCTTAACACCATGCACGTGCTGACAACGCCCAACGTTTTTTCCCCTATCTTCATCTTTGACCCGGATGTGTCGTTGTTGTTAGCTGTCTCACCATCACCAAATTAAATAGGAAATGTAATAACTCACACAATAAACCGTACACTTAAAACCCTTAGCTAACAAAAAATAACATTTATTTCCCCAAGCCAGAGGTCCTGACAAATGAAAGTATGACTCTGATCCTGATAGTGCAGATCAATAGTTTGACCAGGCTAGTCCCAGCTAAAATGTATCATATATCAATTTTTTCCAGAAGCAGATTAAAGCTCCTGAACGCAACATCAGATAGGAGATATACATTGATTTTAACTCGACGTTATCAGAGATTTTAAGACCACATATGTTTATCTAATTAAATAATCAAAAAATCGGTGCACAATGTTGGCGTACTATAGTGCATAGTGAATTTATATTAGTAACAGCCGTTTTTAATTTGTAATGTATTTATTCAAGAAAACATGGACATTAATATTATGTAACATAAACTGTCCATACCAAGGGTATATAGTAAATAATAATTACAATAATATTGAGAAAAGTAAAACAAATAATGTATCACTGGCCCTTAAGAAATATATCCTCCCTAATATATTATGTATGAACACTAAAGCTTTAATTGCTTTCTTGAGTGAAAGTGAAATATATTCAATATTAATCCTTAATATATCTGCCGCATTTGTGCTATACATATTTGATTTTAAAAGGTAAATCCTTTATTGTTCAGGAAAGAAATGTCCCAACTAGCCAAAAGAATCTTCCTGTATTTATTTCAGTATTATAGTCCTCAGTCATTATTTCAGCGACTGAGGACTGTCCCATCTCCAAATATATATGTTTAGTTGTTTATGATGAACAGGGTTCAAGGACTTTTGGTGCTTCAAGTTAAGCTCCATATTTTTTCTAGCTATTTAAAAAAACAAATTTTTTCACGATTTATTTTCTTATGAAGATATAGGAACAATTCTAGAGTCTTTTATAGTGTGTATCTACTATCTACATGTTTGTAATGTGTATATCTACATATTTTTAATGTGTATATAATATATAGTAGTTATACCCAGTCAGTTTTATCGTATGCACATATGTATAAAGTGTATACATGCTACTAGGGTACAGGTGTATTGTTTCTATGTGTCTGCCAGCACAAGAAAGGCTCTTGAGGCTCTGCAGGTGTATTTTGTTAAATCACCTTTATAGAGTGGCGAAGTCCCTCCCCTTCCGGTGGACCTCCATGGGACCTTATTTCGGAAAAATGATGCATCAATGGAGAGAGAAAGATTATCTTTCGATCCCGTTTGAATTGTGCCACGAATTACACATATGATGTTTGTCAATTTAAAAGATAATTTTGCAAATCAAAAAAATCAAAATGTGTCGTAAAACTGTGAAGTAGGCCTAACACATTTGTTTGTGTGAAACTCTCCATAGAGTGGTGAAGGTACAGATCTGTCGTCGGGATGGTTTACTGAGGGTACTAGTAGCATGTATACACTTTATACATATGTGCATACGATAAAGCTGACTGGATATAACTACTAGGCCTATATATTATATACACATTAAAAATATGTAGATATACACATTACAAACATGTAGATAGTAGATACACACTATAAAAGACTCTAGAATTGTTCCTATATCTTCATAATAAAATAAATCGTGAAAAAATTTGTTTTTTTAAATAGCTAGAAAAAATATGGAGCTTAACTTGAAGCACCAAAAGTCCTTGAACCCTGTTCATCATAAACAACTAAACATATATATCTTATTTTAACCTTATGGTGTATTTACTTTAAAGAGTCCTCTCCTGCTGATGTTCAGGTGTATGCAGGGACGTGCACAGGTACGGGCTAATGTTGCCCGGGCAACGGCCCGTTTGGCCTTTTTGGCTGACCTGCCGCTCTGGAGAGAGCGAGAGTTTGTTTTTCTTTTTTCTGTTGTGGCCGAATCAACATGATGAGCACAATTCAACCCAGTCTCATGGCATTTCGTGTTCACCAACACGATTTTTAATCTATTGATTCGTGTTCACCAACACGATTTTCCCCTTTGTTTCGTGTTGCACAGCACGATTTTAAAAGCAATGTATTTCTACTGGTAATGTGTTTCGTGCCTGCAGCACGTCTTTTTCTCCGGTCGGGTCGTGGAAGACCGGAAGCTGTGTGGTTCATAAAAACATGTTCTTACTCAATATCAAGCCACAATTATTGCTTTTATTTTAAATCGTATAATTTCGGACTTTTGTTGCCGTCTGTGAGGAAAATAAATGGGGCTCAGAGCCTCAGAATACTGAAATCTGTATTTTTAAATCTTTTTTTCCTTCTAATTTGTTATTATTTTCAAAATAACACACTGTTATTTACTCACCAATAACAACCCTCACATCAAAGGACAGACATCAAAGGCTAATTAGATTAGACAACAAAGGCTCTACTGCAAGGGTGCATCAAAGGACAGACATCTAAGGCTAATTAGATTAGACAACAAAGGCTGTACACATGGGAACACATCACCCCTCACATGGGGGGGGTGACAGGAAGGGGTGACAGGAAGGGGCGGGAGGGGGACGGGGGTGCGAGGGGACGGGGTGCGAGACAGTCTCACACACAACTTCAAAGAGACTGCCTTAATTAACACATAGATTAACATCAAAGGTGCTACTACAAGGGGCAAAGGACAGACATCTAAGGCTAATTAGATTAGACAACAAAGGCGCTACTACAGGGGGGCATATCACACTCGCCTTGTGATAACACCTCGCCCCTCACATCAAAGGATATCACACCTACCTGTGATATCACACCTACATGTGATAACACCTCGAATAAAGGGAGGCGGGACTTAGCTCATTAGCATAATTGGGGGCGGGACCACCTGTCACTTTGTATGCATACTAATGTGATTTAAGCGGCATCCTTATTACTACACTCACCTCTATTAACTCCCCGAAGAACCAGGTTCAATTAACTGCTGTTTCAATTCAGACAACTCTCTTAAATCTGTTTAAGTGATCCCGAATGATTTTGATATCAGTAAATTAGGTGTGGCCCTACCTAAGTGTGAGCGTGGCAGGGTGCAATCTTACCTTTGAAGCAGGAGAGGAGAGCGCAGATGTCTTTTAAGTTGTCCCAATCCAAAAGGTGGGATCAGTTTATTTGAAGAAAAATAGGTCCAAACTAATACAGGGTTTTTACCTTCTCTCTCTTTACAACATTATAATCATACTAAACCTATCATGCTGTGATAATGTTCTAATATGAAACTTTAATCCACAGTTTTACATTTATTACCATAATTTGTAACTTCAACTGCCCAATTCAGTTGTGACATTTAAAATCTCCCGATATAATTTAGAGGTATTTCCTCATAAAAGACCGGTGATAATAAAAAGCCTTTCATTCAACCTTTCATTCACCAAATCAATTCACATAAATTCCATACCTTTTTTCCGACACAGATGGCGGGTACTAACATTCACAAACACATACCTATCTCCCGCAGGTATTCGGAGGAAGATCCTCACAGGTGGCGGTAACTAATACTCACAAACACACTCCTATCCGACACAGATGGTTAGTACTAACATTCACAAACACACACCTATCTCCCGCAGGTATTCGGAGGAAGATCCTCACAGGTGGCGGTTACTAATACTCACAAACACACATCAATTCATTCCACTCATTCAAGTAATTCGAGAGATATTTAAGTCTGAGAGAACCTTACCGAGAGCTATTAACCCAGCTCTGAGGGAGAGAGCTTTTACCGGGAGAGAGTACACCAGGGGAACCCCCCCCCCCCCTCTCTCTTGCTCTCTCCAAAAAGAAAGTTCCTCCCCATCCGCCAGTGTCTTTATGCTCGAAAACAGGATAGAAAAACCTAAGACACCTCCTCCATACCCATATTTGTGGAAACTGGGCATGGCCTCTGATGTACAGGACTGGACATGACCAGACATATTCAATGGCATATTCCTACTCTGCAGGACTTGCAAAATATTATTCTCGGCTATGACATAATAACCTTTTTGAGGCCTCAATGTATTTCTCCTTAAGTCAGGAGCCCCCCTCCTTGTGTACTGCTGTGAGGGGAGAGGGAATAAACTGCCTTCTCCCTTATCAGTGACACCCATAAACCATTATAGGCCTTACAAACAAACTTAAACTAGCTTTATTAAATGTCAGGTCTTTGGCAGGAAAAACATTTTTAATCAATGATTTTATCACTGAGCAAAATCTCGATTTGATGTTTTTAACAGAAACTTGGATTGAACAAAATAACAGTGCAGCTGTTCTTATCGAATCAACCCCTCCCAACTTTAGTTTTATGAGTCAGGAAAGAATGCATAAGAAAGGAGGTGGAGTTGCTATTCTGTTCAATGATTCCCTTCAATGCAGGAAGACATCGTATGGAAACTTTGATTATTTTGAATATGTGGCCCTTCAGCTGAAATGCTCCTCTCGAGCTCTGTTCCTAAATATCTATAGACCACCCAAATACTGTGCAAGCTTTTTTGATGACTTTACTGAACTGCTGTCTATAGTGTGTATTGACTTTGACCGTCTAGTCATTGTTGGTGATTTTAACATCCATGTTGACAACCCCCAGGACAGAGGGGCAAAATAACTGTTTTGTGTTCTTGATAGCTATGGACTGACTCAGCATGTGACGGAGCCCACGCACAATAAGGGGCACACTCTGGACTTAATTATCTCAAAGGGTCTGAATATCTCTAAGGTTGTGGTGACTGATGTTGCACTCTCTGACCATTCCTGTGTTTTCTTTGAGAGCTCTATTTTTGTTCACAAAAATGTTCAAAAAGAGATAACCACAAAGCGATATTTAACTGAAAATACTAGGGAAATGTTTACTCAGAATTTTTCTTCCACACTTGCCCCTGCTAACATCTCAGTAAATGAGCTAGTAGATCATTTTAATTAAAAAATTAAAAATGTTATAGATGCCATTGCTCCAACTAAGGTAAAGGAAGTGTCTGGCAAGAAAATATCTCCATGGAGAAAGGCCATGAGTGTGAAAACAGAAAAAAGAGAATGTCGAAAAGCTGAACGCAGGTGGCGAAAAACAAATCTCCAGGTTCACTTTGAAATCTATAAAGAGAGACTTGGCCTTTATAATTTGGAATTGAAAAACGCACGACAATCGTTCTTCTCTGACATCATTACCAAAAACAAAAACAACGCACGTGCCTTGTTTGCTACCGTCGACAGACTAACTAACCCCCCAGTGTCAGTAGCCTCTGAATTTCTATCCACCAGGGCGTGCAATGATTTTGCCTCCTTTTTCACTGACAAAACTCAGAAAATCAGACAAGCAGTCAGTGCCTCTGCATCAGGAACAGCAAATGTGTTGTCTCTATGTCCACTTAACATTAATTCAAACACCATGACACAATTCCATCAGATTAATGATAAAAACCTAGAGGACATTATTCAACTTCTGAAATCCTCCTCCTGCTGCCTTGATATTATTCCAACAGGATTTTTTAAAGATGTTTTGCCTTGCATGGCCTCAGATCTACTTCATATAGTAAACAAATCTCTTCACTCAGGTATTTTTCCACAGGCCCTGAAAACTGCAGTCATTAAACCGCTCTTAAAAAAGAATAATCTAGATGCTTCAGTAATGAACAATTACAGGCCCATATCAAACCTCCCATTTCTAGGTAAAATCATTGTAAAAGTTGTTTTTCAACAGTTGAGTAATTTCTTGCATTTAAATAACTGTTTAGATGTGTTCCAGTCAGGCTTTCGACCAAACCACAGCACTGAGACTGCTCTTGTAAAGGTCTTTAATGACATCCACTTAAACACAGACAGTGGCAGAACTTCAGTGTTAGTATTATTAGATCTCAGTGCTGCGTTTGACACTGTTGACCACAGCATATTACTAGACCGACTGGAAAACTGGGTGGGACTTTCGGAAACAGTTCTAAATTGGTTTGAATCCTACTTAAAGGACAGAAACAACTTTGTTTCTATAGGTAAATACACATCTGAGTTGACAAATATGACATGTGGGGTTCCTCAAGGCTCCATCTTGGGGCCTCTTCTCTTTAACATCTACATGCTACCACTGGCTCAAATAATGAAAAACAACTAAATAAGTTACCATAGCTATGCAGATGACACACACATTTACGTAACAATTTCACCAGGAGACTATGCTCCAATTCAAACACTGAGTAAGTGCATTGAACAAATCAATGACTGGATGTGTCAGAACTTTCTCCAATTAAACAAAGATAAAACTGAGGTAATGGTTTTTGGAGCCAAGTCAGAACGTATAAAAGTTAGCGCTGAGCTTCAGTCTGCAATGTTCAAAACAACAGATAAAGCCAGAAATCTAGGTGTAGTCATGGACTCTGACCTGAGTTTCAACAGTCATATTAAAACTGTTACTAAATCAGCCTACTATCACCTAAAGAATATATCTAGGATTAAAAGACTAATGTCACAGCAGGATTTGGAAAAACTTGTCCATGCTTTTATCTTCAGTAGACTCGACTACTGCAATGGTGTCTTCACAGGTCTCACTAAAAAATCTATTAGGAAGCTGCAGCTGATTCAGAACGCCGCTGCTCGAGTCCTCACTAATACTAAGAAAGTGGATCACATCACTCCGGTTCTGAAGTCTTTACACTGGCTTCCTGTGTGTCAAAGAATAGATTTCAAAATACTGCTGCTGGTTTATAAAGCACTGAATGGCTTAGGCCCAAAATACATTTCTGACCTCCTGCTAAATTATGAACCATCCAGATCTCTCAGGTCTTCAGGGACTGGTCAGCTTTCTGTCCCCAGAGTCAGAACTAAACATGGTAAAGCAGCGTTCAGTTATTATGCTCCAAATATCTGGAACAAACTCCCAGAAACCTGCAGGTCCGCTGCAACTCTGACTACTTTTAAATCCAGGCTGAAGACTTTTCTTTTTGTCGCTGCTTTTAATTGAACTATTCATATCTTAAACTGCACTGTAACTTTTATCCATGTACTTTTTCTTTTAATGTTTAATTGAACTATTCATATCTTAGACTGCACTGAAACTTTTATCCATGTATTTTTTCTTTTAATGTTTATTTTATTAGCTTTTCTTTTTAATGACTGATTTTAAATGCCTTTTTCTTAATGTCTTTCATTTTTTGTAAAGCACCTTGAATTGCCTTGTGTTGAAAAGTGCTATATAAATAAACTTGCCTTGCCTTGCCTTGCCTTACACTCAACTTAACACACCACTTTGTTTATACTGTAAATATAGAAAAACCTAAAATATGAAGCATTCTCATTGTGGGTTATACAAGAATATAATTGATTATATTTGATTATAACTAACTTTCGTTTTTAGTATTCATTCTAATATGAAGATCTCAACAGTAATTTCCGCCCCATCTCCAACCTCCCCTTTCTCTCAAAAACAATAGAACGCATCATCTCCAAACAACTCCACCGCCATCTCCAAACCAACCAGCTTTTTGAACCCCTTCAGTCTGGTTTTCGTCCCCACCACAGCACAGAAACAGCACTCATCAAAGTCCTCATTGACCTCCTCACCTCTGCTGACACTGGTTCCCTCAATATCCACATCCTCCTCGACCTGAGTGCAGCCTTCGATACCGTGAGCCACACCATCCTGCTTACCCGACTCCAGGATATTGGTATTGAAGGTACTGCACTCAGGTGGCTCCAGTCCTACCTCTCTGACAGATCCCACTTCATCTCCCTCAACAACCACTCCTCTGCCACAGCTTCAGTCACCCAAGGTGTTCCCCAAGGTTCAGTACTCGGCCCCCTCCTCTTCATCATCTACATCCTCCCCCTTGGTCAGATTCTCCGCCAATACAACCTGGACTTTCACTGTTACGCTGACGACACACAGATTTACCTCAGCACAAAATCCCCCCACAAACCCCCCCCCCCCCCCCCCCCCCCCCTTCACCCACATCGAATCCTGTCTGATTGCAATAAAATCCTGGATGCAACACAACTTCCTCAAACTCAACAGCAATAAAACTGAACTCCTCCTCATCGGCTCCAAATCCACCCTCAGCAAAACCGCCAACCTGACATTCACCATTGATGGCACCCCTGTTTCCCCCTCCACCCAGGCACGCAACCTTGGCGTTATATTTGACCCCACCCTCTCCCTTGAGCCCCACATCCGTCAAGTTGTAAAAATCAAATTTTTCCACCTCTGCAATATTGCCAAACTCCGTCCCTCTCTCACCCGCCCTGCAGCTGAGTGACTCATTCACGCCTTCATCTCCTCCCGCCTTGATTATTGCAACTCACTCCTCTACGGCATCAGCACTACATCCCTCAATAGACTCTAGCATGTCCAGAACGCAGCCGCCAGACTCCTCACCCACACCAAATCATGGCATCACATCACCCCGGTCCTCAAATAACTCCACTGGCTCCCCGTTTCACACCGCATCCATTACAAACTCCTGGTCCTCACTTACAAAGCCCTCCACCATCTGGCCCCCCCCTACCTCACTGACCTCCTCATCCTATACCAACCACCCCGGTCCCTCAGATCCATCTCAGCCGGTTTGCTTTCCATCCCCAAGGACAAACTCCGGAGCTTCGGGGATAGAGCCTTCTCTGTGGCAGCCTCGAAGCTCTGGAACTCCCTCCCCCAAGACCTCCGTGAGTCTGAGTCCCTCACCCTGTTCCAGTCCCGCCTCAAAACCCATCTCTTCAACTCTGTATATCCATAAGCCCCCCCCCTCTCAACCAACTTCCTCCTGACTGCTTTTCTGTTTTGTTTTGTTTCTTTGTTTCTTTTTTTGTTTTGTTTTTGTTTTGTTTGTCTCCCTCCCTCCCAAATGTAAAGCGTCTTTGGGTTCAAGAAAAGCGCTATAGAAATATAATTTATTATTATTATTATAGAGCGGGGGGAAACTGTTACATCCACTCTGTTGACCTACTTTTGACTCACTACCCTGGGTTATCAATGCCACTCCTTGAGTGGTTCTCCCTATCTTTGATTCTCTGCAGATGTGCTGGAGTCAGAGCAGCCTCCTACCAGCCTCCTACCCCCATATCGTAGAACCTTCTCGTCGGTCTATACATCAAGCCAGTTATTATTAGCCTCATGGCGCCCACGTCCAACAGTCCTCAGAACCATATCTATATATATATAGTTTCTAGAGAAGTGCTATATAAGTGTCAGGTAGTATTATAATGATTATTATTATATCCTCCCAATTCACGAGATACTGCAAACTGCAGCCCCGACAGCGAACATCCAGAAGACGCCAGACAGTATACACAGGATGATCATTGATTGTGTCTTACCTCGTTATTTACTTGCCTGATCCTGTTTGTCTTTTCTTCCCTTGCAGTCCTGCCTGCTCTACTCCAGCCCCTGTAGACAGCTCAGACCCCACCCATTACATCAGATCCAGATTCCTTTCCATCCGGCTCCCCTTCACACCACGGACTTCCGATCTCAGCTCTGATCCACCCAGCCTTATCTCTACAATAAACCTTTTTCAAACTACTCCTGTGACTTTCTGTGTCCGTAAAGAAGGGTTTCAGCTGGTAGGAGGCTGCTCAGACTCCAGTACCCCCCCCCACCCCCCCTTTCTATGAGCTCCACCTAGCGCCCAACTGTGTCCTGTTCAGGTTAGAGGCGTGGAAATCCCTCCCTAGGGTCCAGAATCTGACGACGGGGCAGGCTGAACGCTCCTCAGGACCATATCCCTCCCAATCCACGAGGTACTGCAAACCCCCTTCGGTGGACATCCATAAGACGCTGATCTGTCTGCACCTGGCTCCACCTGTTCTGCCGCCCCACGTTAGATCTGTGGGCGCTGGCACTCCTGCTGGACCACCTCCTATTCCTGAGAATACAGAAACACTCAGAGTAAATACACTGATGGGTTCTATCTCCTGGACCTTATTGTAGGTTGTGATCAGTGCTGTCTTCTTACCTGTTTTTTGTAAAACAGGATGTAGGCCGACTCCTTCTGCTGCTTACACACAGATACTCCTGTTGTTTTAAAGACTTCCAAGTCGTTGAAGGTGAGCCACCTGTCGGTTGGCTTGTCTGGACTGTCGTCGGGATGAACGCTGTCACAGATGTAGTGTCCTAAAGAGATAGAGAGAAAGAGAGAGATCTTTGTTCAAACATTGAGCCTAGATGACTGACAGTGCTGACCAGACTGTAGCAAGTGTCAACCTGAGAAAGAAACACAGAGTTAGTTTCACACACACATAAAACAGCAGCAAAAACACATGTATTCACTTCCCAATTGGCCTGATGCTTCTGTTTGTTTTCAGGTGACTTTTGTTTTTTTACCTCGTTGCCAGACACCTGCAGGTTGCTCTGCAGCTTGATAGCGTAGTGTAACTTCTCCATCCTGTAGTCGGAAGTGAACCAGAAACGCTTCAGGTGCAAGATGAGCACTCTGCAGAAGAAAAAAAAAGATGGTTAAGGATCGATCACTATGTTTTTTAATCGGTTTTCTATCATGAACTTAAATCATTTATTTGGGATAGTGTGGCGCAGTTTTTCATGATTAATGATGATGTCACTCACTTTGGCATGGTCTTAAAAGTTGATCTCTGGCCAGATGTTCTTCCTCCGCACTCGCACTTGTATTCCAACTTGGTCTCCTACAGGATAGGCACAACACAACAGTGTTACACATTACAAAATAACATAACGTGTGTGTTCAGGCTGTGAGGATTTGACGGGCGAGTCTTACCTTTTGGTATTCCTGAAGCATCTCTTCCACCGAGACTCCAGGAAACAGATCCAGGGACAGGTTTGTGAACACTTCGTCTCTTCTCGACTGTTTTCCGCATCTGCATATTAAAGGAACAACTTGTGTAAAAATACAGCCACAGAGGTCAAGACACAACCACCTGCTTAACCAGACCAGGGCGTGTCTTAGGGGAAAAACGTTTTTGTGATATTTTTCTGTATAGTTTTACCTCTTGCATGTCCTGATGTTCTCCATCTGGAACACCATGTTGCGTTCCACAGGGCAGGTGTATGTTTGTCCCATGCAGGTTGCGATGTCCTGCAGAAGTGGGGACAGATTCCTCATCTGGTTCAGGACTGATGTGATGAACTCATGAGCGTCCTGTAAAAACACGGAACACATACAGAGGGGTTAATACACAGAGAAGAAACTATCAGGAGGAGGTGATATAATCAAACACGAAACCAGCTGACTCACCTTTTGCTCGTAGTCGCAGAATTCTGGAGCCTGAACAGAGACCACGTCCTTGAATGAGTACAGGAGGCTCCTTTTACTGTTGATGTCGCTGGAGGTGTGGGCGTCTTTGATCGCTAGGAATTCTCTGCAGTAGGAAAAATAGAAGGGTTGGATCTGGTATTCCATTTTCTTCCACAGGATTTGGGTAACCTGAAGGGGACAGGAGTGTGTGTGTGTGTGTGTGGGTGTGTGTGTGTGTGTGTGTGTGTGTGTGTGTGTGTGTGTGTGTGTGTGTGTGTGTGTGTGTGTGTGTGTGTGTGTGTGTGTGTGTGTGTGTGTGTGTGTGTGTGTGTGTGTGTGTGTGTGTGTGTGTGTGTGTGTGTGTGCTGTACCTTAACAGTTGGGCGTCAGATAATGGATCCCAGACCTGCTTCTGGTGCTGTAAGTCCTGGACGAAGTTCTCCAGTGTCAGGAGGCCCTGAAGGCTGGAGTTCATATAGCACGTGTTTGAGAGGTTTGGAAGTCTGAAAACGCAACATGAGCAGTCAATATTATCTCTTCTTCTCTGAAAAATCATAAACTAAAGCCCATTTTTGACGGAATTGTTACCTACCCCAAGCAGTTGATGTTGGTGGGTTTAGCCTTCACAGCATCACCGATGCCATCTGGAGTTTTTGGGGTTCTTGTAAGGGAAAAAGACAACCACACGGTCAATAAATATGACAAGACGCTTTGAAAAGTGTCTTTATCAACACAACACACACTGAATAATGTTGAAGCAAATCAACCATCAGGGAGAAGAATAAGTAAAAACATCTTGCCTCTTAAAGGTCCCATGTCATGGCCATTTCTACTGATCATAATTCCATTGTTGAGGTCTACTAAAATAAATGTATATTGTGCAATATTCCAAAATCACATTGGTTTCTCATACAGCATCTCTGTATAGTATATGTATTCACTCTCTGTCCTAAACGGCTTGTTGGAGCTCCTGCCTCCCCTCCCTGTGAGCCCAGTGGCCGTCTGCGAGACAGCGAGACACAGCAAAACCCAGCCCGAAACCAGCTCGAAACCAGCCCGAGCACACACACACATCCGCAGCCTGGCTGGGAGTTTGTGTGTGTGCTAACACACAGACTCACAGCCTCGCCGCGTCCCGACGTCTCAGGCGGAGAAATCGGTGGAGCTGCAGCTGAGAAAAACATAACGGCTCCGCGGATTGGTCCATAATCACTTGAATAACAGTCCCATCCTGTTATTTCACACTGTAGAAATCGTGGCAGAGTAGCATTGAACATTTTGGGTACTATCACTTAGGAAGCAGCCAGACATAGAAATGCAAGATTAACTCTCAAATTGAAATTGAAATAAATCAACTTAAATACATTCTTTTTTCTTTACACAATAAGGTGAGTCATCTGTATATTCTGCATATACCTTACATGTTAATTATTACAAACTCATTCCTTATAAAGTTACACAGAATAAAGGAACACAATAACTGTTCCTCATAACTAATCAAACATTTATAATTAGCCTTAGCAAGGTGCTTAGTTAACCACAATAGCATTTTACATGAATATAACACACATGGCTAGGCCACTTCTGTAATGAATTCACGTGGTAATGAACTCTTCATTAACATTCCATATACTCTTCTTCTCTTCTACAACATTTTCTCTGAAGCAGAAATTAAAGGTTTTCCAGGACTGCAACAGGAAAGTTCTGTCTGGGAGTCGTGGGAAAGCTCCGAAAGGTTGTCGGAAAGCTCAGAAGGGTCGTCTTCAAACTGCACCACATCATCCTGATGAGACTCTAAGATTGACTCCTGTTTGTTTGTCTCTTGAGGGGTTGCAGGTCTGCTGCTGGTCTTGCTTTTGGATGGCGGCTCAGGCAACAAGCCCCTATCAAATAGGTGATCATAAAACTCCTCATCCAGAACAAACGGCATCACCTCATCCTGGTGGGAAAACGAGCTCGACTCTTTTGGTGCTTTTGGACTGCTGCTGGAAGAAGAAACAGATTGACATGTAATGTTTTATTCGTTATTGGTACAATCAGTGACAAAATTCAAAATGTCCTTTATTACATTGAATCCCTTCCAGAATAAATCTAAACCAGGTGAGATGGACGTCATGTGTACCCAAGTACTGTACAATTGATCATATGTCCAAGTGAGAAAGATTACAGATTCACAAGTGTACGTATTTCACGTCTCAAAACAAAACTTGAATATCTTTTAAGCTTGTGTAAAATGCAGACCTTTTTTCAGCCATCAAACTAAATATCCATTAACAAAAACACGAATTAACTTCACGATGAGGGAACAGGAAGATCAAAAAGTGCTGACTAATTGCTGGATTTTACGACAAATCTTTTCAGCACTACTTTATGTGTGGGAGCTGAAGACTGGCTTTCTTTGTTCCTGACTGTGACGAAGGTAACTTCGTCACTATGGACTGACTGCTTCAGGCCGGGTAATTGTGTGCACCTGGTGTCCTGTGTTGTCTCCTCCCCCCCTCACCTGTGTCTTGTTGTGCTGATTAGTGTGTGTATTTAGGCTCTGTTTCCCTGTCTGTTGGGAGGTGGGTAGTGTGTGAGATCCTTGTGGCTGGTAGGATGTGTGCACAGGAACAGCAGGATTGGTAGGATGTGTGCACAGGAACAGCAGGATTGAGGCTGTGTCCTGTGTCCTGTGCTCAAGTTGAATAAATGCCCACGTCGGGTTATATTTTTGGACGTTCTGCCTCTGCCTCCTTGCTTGGTCTGGGCCGCTCAACGGTCAGCTTCACACTGACAGACAGTGAAAGCAGTATAAAATAATTGTACTTACCTCCTCTGTTCTGCGCTGGTATCCGTAGCCGGTGAGACCTGACATTTTCCCTGTTGGAGGAAAAACCAACTTCAGTATCAGATTTTACTCTCATTTAGTCGTGACTAGTAACTATCTGGTTAGTGTTGAGTTCTGGCTGTGTTTGTGAAACATACCTTGCCCCGTTTAAAAAGCTTATTCCACCAACGTGTCTTCTTGGCTGTCCCATTTGTGTTGGTAGATGAGGCCGTTAAGGTGGTCACAGATCTAGAGAGAAAAAGTATTGGTTATGTCATTGTAAAACTAAATACTTGTTCACAATAGTCACAAAATAGGATGGAGAAACATGTGAGGATTCCTGATGCCCAGATGTTATAACCATTTCTCTCAGGGATTTCTGAGTAAAATAATTTACTAAAATACATTAGTTAAGACAAAATATGATTTAAAAACTGAACAAAAAATATATAGGATGAAAATTCGTACCTTTCATTTCTTCCAACATTTATTTTCTTCTGTAGAGGGAAAAGACCAACAATAAGAAGTAAACAATGTCAGACATATTGGTTATTGTGGTTACTTACAAATAAACTAATCTAAATAATAATGGTAGAGTCGACTTAAAGGACATGAAGCTCTGACACTTTCTGTCAAACATACCTCGCTACACCTACTCTCCTTTGACTTCTTCTTACTAGCCTTCACTGTATTTGCTGAGACTGTAGAAGCAGCAGCACTTTTTCTACTGAGAAACACAGATGGAAATGTTTAGCCAGTTATAAAGCATTATCCATATGCAAGTATTATTTTTATGAAAGTTAAATGATTAAATACAACAAATGTAATCCATCAAAACACTAAAAATGGTAGCTAATTAAACTGAGTGTATAAATGATTAGTTAGGACACAATTAAATGAACTTTTAACAATGTTCTTACCTCCAACGTGAGCTGAGACAGTGTTTGCTGTCAACAGCCACATCATCTGTGGCATGTTTTTGCTTTTCCTTGTTCCAACAAAGGCAAGAAAAAGCACCACAGAACCAATCTACGCTAAACATCTTGGTTATTTTTCCAATTCTTTTTTTTTTAACCAGAAGTTAGACTCAACTCTCTGTTACCGTTCGGTTTCTGAACTGAATCTTCACTAAGACTGAATGTTACCTGGGCACAGGATAAATATAGTTATAGAATGTAAGAATAATGATGTATCAAGGCCATAGATCAAGGCACATTCCGTCATTTAAATATTCTAGAACACAACAAACACATAATGCTCGGTCTCACCTATACAAAAATTCACAAAAAATGTCAAATGCCATATTACAGCAAAAAAAAGAAGATATCTCAGATATAGATAGCACAAACTGAATGCTCTACAAGCATGTAATTACATACACATGGTGTGTGAATAGAAATGTAATGTGATACTGTAAATCCCCAATTATATGCCTAAATAAATCTAAATTACATATAGAAATACACTCCAATGCGTCCTTTAAAATGTTATTAAAATAAACACTTTCATATTGTTTGTCATCTTAGGCTATGTTTGTTTAGCCTAGCTTAGCTCACATATGAAGCTAGTAACTAGCTTAGCTCCAATACAATTTGAAAACTACACTTTCCAACTCTTTTAAAGCTGATTCAATCTTGATTTTCCTTCTTATGTATAAATACAAACAAATAACTTTTCATTACTAAGAGTTGAAGCTACCACTCCACTAGCTAGACACCGTATAGCATTGTGGCTAGCTTGCTAAAGTAATTAATACATAACATACATAACACGGAAAGATTATATTATTTGAGTTTATTGAAGGTGTTTTTATTTGTGTTTCGCTGTAGGCTAGCTCCACTCCCAATATGTTGGTTGCCATTCTAGGCTCAACATGTCATGAACATCAAGTAAAATAATACAAGTCTGCACTTCAAAATGATCCTTACCAATTGTTGAATTCAGAGTCAGCCTGGAGGAGGTCATAGTACTGCTGTCCATGAAAACAATATATTACCACTACGGGACATTTTCAAACATCAGGGGAAATGTTGTAAGTCATAAGCACAGGTTTTACTGATGACATTAAGGATGGCTCTGCTCTGGTCAAATGTCCTGAGTATTTCATTTGTATTTTTTCCGTTCATTTAATTTAATTTTTATATTATTGCCATGACAGGGTCAGGGTGACAGTGAACAATACCTGAACCAATAGCAGCCAAATTAAATTAAGCCATCATTAATTGTATTATGTACATTGCTGATTTTGTCCCACAGTTATCTAACTGGCTTCAGTGAAAACTTTCTGTGAAAATAGATTTATATCTGGAAAGATTTTCATGCAGATTTGAAGAACAGATCTAATTTCTAAAAGTCAGGCAGTGTATGGAGGTGAATGATGTGTGTAGATTAGCTCAAGTATGATACTTAAGTACTTTTTTGGGATATATTTGTACTTTACTTATATATTGCTACTTTATACTTCAACTCATCTACATATCATAGACAAATATTTAGCTTTTTACTCCACTACATTTATTTAATAGTCACAGTTACATTGTTGGCTACATTTAAAACTACATACAATTCAGTACTGTATTACTAATCTACACAGTATTTTAAGCATCTAAATGTACTCCTCATTGACGAAGTACAATTCTAAAATGCTCTTACATTTTACAAAAAGGATATTATAATAACTATAATAATATACCATAATGAAATTATCCATCCTGCATAACAGGTACTTTTACCGTTGATGCTTGAAGTACATTTAGCTGATAATTCTTCCTTAATTTTGCTTTAAATTATTCTGAAATTAGCCATTTTGCAGTAGGAGTACATTATATGCTAATACTTTCGTACTTTTACAAGACAATTTAAGTCATTTAACACATTTGAAGACAGTAGTAGCCTATGTGTTATTTTACTTAAGTAAAGGATTTGAGTATTTCTCCAAAGACTGAGTATTAGCAATTCGTGATATGTTAGGTTGTGTTTTAGTGGCATCACGGTGAAGTACTGTATTAACTAACATACAGTCATCAGCACAGTAACGTAACTTGTGTCAGTATACACCACAGAGTTGTTGGCATTGGTGTTGTCATTGAAATGGATAGAGGAGAAAGAAATACATAATAGCAGAGGTGGGACCAAGTCATTGTTTTGCAAGTCCGAGTCAAGTCTCAAGTCTTTGCGCTCAAGTCCGAGTCAAGTCTCAAGTCATTGTTTTGCAAGTCCAAGTCAAGTCTCAAGTCAGGATGGGCCAGTTCAAGTCAAGTCAAGTCCTAAACTTTGACAAAACGAGTCATAAACAAGTCATTATGTGTTTTTCACCAAATGTAATGACATCGATCAACAGAATAATACTTAATAATCAAATTGCTCTTTATTAGTCACATTAATAATTTAATAATCCATTTTCTCTCTGCTGGTAAAGTAACGTGTGTTTTTCTAATTTAAGAGGGATCAGTAAGGTAAGGCTACCGTGACGGTTTGATTCAGAAGGAGTTTAATGGATAAGATCCCTGATGTTGAGGTAACCAGAATGTTTATTTCTACTGTGTACAACATGTTATAAGGGACCCACAATCTATCTTTATGCAAGGGATAATGTGCAGCGAGGCGGTCTCTATGGGGAAAAGAACACCTGAATCTAGATCCCTCTGCAGGTGGTACTTTAAGTATATTTTGATGCTAATACTTTTGTACTTTTACTTGTAACATTTTGAATGCAGGACTTTTTATTGTACAGGGTTCCTGCAGGTTTCGCCAACTCAAATGTAAGACTTTTTAACACCTTTTTAAGACCACTTTGAATAGAATTTAAGACCTATTTCACGGCAATAAAGTATGAAGGAAAATGTATATAAAGAAGAAATATGTCCCATAATCACTTACAAAGTAAATGTATTCATGTTCAACATAAGAACAGTGACTGAACACAACAGCGTAACAGTACAGAACTGTGTTAGCGTGTTAGACAAAAAGTGTGTGTATGTGTGTGCGTCTGTGTGTGCTTGAGTGTGTGTTAGGGCTGTGCAATTAATCATATTTTAATCGCAATTACGATTTTGGCCTGCCACAATTACGAAAACAACATAATCGTAAAAAACGATTATTTTGCTTTACTAGGTTGTGACAGTGCACTACAACATATTTGATCTAATTAATTTTTTAGTAATGTATCATTTATTTAATAAATTTTTGTATTGGTTTTTCAGTTGAATTATACGTTCAGGGTAATCAACAGTTAAAAAGATACTGTTCAAATTATTATCTGTTTCAAAGTTCAATAAATGGATGTTTTCAAAGTCAATGAATAATCATATTTAATAATCGTGATATTAATTATTGACCAACATAATCTTGATTATTGCCATAATCGAGCAGCCCTAGTGTGTGTGTGTGTGTGTGGTGTGTGTGTGTGTGTGTGTGTGTGTGTGTGTGTGTGTGTGTGTGTGTGTGTGTGTGTGTGTGTGTGTGTGTGTGTGTGTGTGTCTCAGAGAGAGTGACAAGAGCTATATTCAGAGCTCTGCTGCCTTGGCTACACTATTTCATCGTTGCTGTTGTATGATTGGTGTTTAGCTACGGTATTTAGCGTCTACAGCACCTCCGCTTTTAGGGTTGACGTAGACCCAAACTTAGCCCGGAGGTCCCCCGGTGTTGTTGCGGAAGCTGCTGCATTGGCTGCTGCTGCACTAGCTAACGCTGCATTAGCTGCTGCCGCACTAGCTAACGCTGCATTGGCTGCTGCTGCACTAGCTAACGCTGCATTAGCTGCTGCCGCACTAGCTAACGCTGCACTAGCTAACGCTCCACTAGCAAAACAAACACTATTTCTTTTGCAAAAGATGCAGCGGGCTTCAAACACGTTCCCTCCACTGGTTTCAACCAAGCACTAAATTAGATGTTTTCCAACCAAATACGGTTGAACTTACACTTCCCCATATTTATTTGTAAGTAGATTCGAAGATAGGCTACATGAGCTGAAGCTTGGTTGCTAGGTTACTAGCTGGGTGTTCTCCAACAAGGGGCCGGGGGAAACAAAGTTAGTGATTACTGGTTCC